ATCTATCTCTTCCCTGCCCGTCGGGCTATTGTAGGAAGGAAAAATATATGTCAATGCTTTTGCATTCTTTCGGAAATGTAGCTGGGTAATTATGTCATTGGCATCGGTGAGTCACTGTCAATATGTGACATTGAAATCGCGTTTGAATTTGCGCTTGTTTTTTTGCTTTCACTTTGCAATCGTGCGAACTGTGTATAGAGAGCGACAGCACTGATCTGTGAGTGATGATAATTTGTGCACCAATTCCTCTGACATCGTCTTATTAATCGTTAGCTTACTATGCAAACATGACAAGTGAAATCTCCCGCAGCTTAAACATGTGAGAGGTTGATCGCGCAGAGAATCGCTGAGCTTATGTGAGTGAGCGTGTAAAAGCAGCAGGATATATATTTGACTACGATGACCTGGATGACTGAGAACCTTCACAGACAGATATATATTTTAGTTCTGCTGAGCCAAATAAGACAGGTCAGGGTGAAGAAGTGACAGCCAAAGAAAAGCTTACCACAAAACGGAAAAGTTATGACAAATCAGACTATAAGGCAAGAAGAAAGTGCAGCTTTATGGTTTCATGGACAAAAGAATTTCTGTGGCTGCAATATGACGAGCTATATAACCAGGGCTGCACATAAGTGGTCCGCAGGTGCGCATTCGCTGTCAAAATAAAAAACACGCACAAGGGTTAGGGTTAAATTTAAAAACTGTACTTTTGAGTTAAAATATATATTTATAATTTTAATAAATGACAAATTAAAAAGGCATGAACATTTTTTGTATCGAAAAAATATCGAACCGTGACACCAAAGTATCGAACCGAACCGAACCGTGAATTTTGTGTATCGTTGCACCCCTAATATATATATATATATATATATATATATATACATAACATTCTGTAACTTCTGTCGGTGCTGTGCTTTTGGAAACCTAATTTCCCAGAGGAACCCACCCGAAGGATTAATAAAGTTCTATCTTATCTTATCTTAAAAGTAGAATGGGAGTGTAACCCAGAGTAATTTCCTGCACTTATTTCCTGCCATTGAACGCATCACAAATGCATGACTCCAACCACATGACTTTGCTCAGCCAATCGGATGGCATGTAGGTCATAGTAAGCCTGTCCCGGCTTCCTCCCGTCAGATGCGTGGAGGCAAGCCAGGTGACAGAGCTGTTGCAGGTGTGTATTGGCAAACATTTGCTTTTCCCGTTTTAATGCATTTTTTTAACACCAACTAACTTATGCAACTTAGGTGCTGATTACTGTGAGCCAGAGCCATAGTGTTGTTGTGCACTGAACAGAACGGAATTGGTGAGTTTGAACTTTTAATTGACTGTTTGTATTGCTACCAGCTGACCCTAATCGGCTGCTGCCGGTCCAAACAATTTGATTTTGATTTGACTGATAGTTGTTGAATAACAAATGTTGTGGAGCTACATAGTATGTATGTATGTATGTGTGTAAATAATCATTCTGTACATTTGATAATCTTTAATCCTACAACTGTTTACAACTTGCATAGTTCCCATTTCTGTATAGCTGTATATCCCAGATTCTGTAAAGTTATTTATTTCATATTCTGTATAGTTTTTCATATTTATATCCTGTTCATAGCGTGTACTCACTACAGCCTGTACATACTTATAGTTATAGAATATTCACAACATACTTCATACCGTGTACATTATAACATACCATAATAGACCCATTTCGGTAATATACTCACACATCTATATTATTGCTAATATATATTGTAATATATCTATATCACTAAAGCACTTCTGGATGGATGCAAACTGCATTTCGTTGCCCTGTACCTGTGCATGTGCAATGACAATAAAGTTGAATTCTATTCTATTCTATGTAGCAGTTGAAATGTTTTCAGTTAAATCCTTATTGGTTAGGAATATTATATTTAACCAATATATTGTTTGTTTATTTATTTATAAATTGTGTACACAGGAACAAGAATAACTTAATGTATTTAGCTTAATTGGCTGACATTTTTGTATTATTCTTGTGATTTCTTATTGGCCTTGTTTATTTAATGCAGGCCAGGTGAACCTTGTTAGGGTATGAAAGAGGATGGCGAGCCAATGAACGGCTAGGAGCAGGACACATTCTGCAATTGACGCTTCCACCGGTTGGGTAGGAAGCTATCAAAGACAACGCTCTGTCCCATTTTCCAAATACACTGATTTCCGCAATCATACACACCATTCCCTTCATTTATGGACAATAGCGCTTGGACATCTCTCATGGACATTCAGATTAAACTCATGGACTTCAGTGTGGATCAGTGGATTTGATATTAACATGTGGTGTTTATGGGGGAACTGTTTTTTTTTGAGAACCTGTGTTGCTTGGTATAAGCCAGACAAATCTGTTTAGTTGTCTTTGTGTACCCTCACTGGGTTTTTGATTAATTGGATAGCTGCAGCAGGAGTGATTATTTAAGTTTTTCTTTTCTTGTTATTCTTTTTTGGGGTTTGGTTAAATACATGGTACCTGCAAAACTATTTTTTGTGTTGTGTGTATTTATTAATTACTGCCCATCAGCTCCAGTGGTGTCCCTAAATCTTCTGATTAATAATAACCATAAAATTACACTCAATCCCTAGCCTGTATTAATTCATTAGCGCTACATCAGTGTTACAGGAGGCAGAGCCTTCAGTTTTCAGGCCCCTCTTCTGTGGAACCAGCTTCCAGTTTGTCTTCCTTCTCTCACCCCAACCAATCACAGCAGATGGCCCCGCCCCTCCCTGAGCCTGGTTCTGCCGGAGGTTTCTTCCTGTTAAAAGGGAGTTTTTCCTTCCCACTGTCGCCAAAGTGCTGCTCATAGGGGATCATATGATTGTTGGGTTTTCTCTGTATGTATTATTGTAGGGTCGACCTCACAATATAAAGCGCCTTGCGGCGACTGTTGTTGGTGCTATATAAATAAAATTGACTTTAATTGAATCTAAGAAAGGAAAAAACCGCCGGCCTTAGTGAGCATGAGGCCATAAAGATTTTGATGAAGGTATTTTAGGGAAAAGTCCCAGAGTGACCAGCACTTTAACTGTGAGGCGAATGTACAGGACGGTCTGCATGTACAGTATTTTCTTGTTTTTCTATAATTACAGTACTGTGCAAATTCATGAGCTGGACATCATTTTTTCTCTCGCAGCCTCTATTGATCACATAAGTATTACAGGAAAAAACAAAAGTGGTACCAATGTGTCAATATATACGAGCCTAAACGGATTTAAGAGCCAGCAGTCTTCAGTCAGATTTGCTGGTTATGAACAATCAATCTTCACGAAACGATTAGGTATTGATTTTTATTTGACTCATTCTCCTTTACAGTAACTGCATCAAATCAATCAAGTCAAACAGACAATAACTTGCACACATGTAGTAAAACTTCAGTTATGGAGAAAAATTAGGTTTCTCTTTCAGCTTCCATCAGAACAAAACACAAAGGATCATCGTTCAGTTGTAGGCTGACGCTCACACACGAATCACTATGAAAATATTACAGCCGTTAAAAAGCACAGCTGCTCTTTATACCTCAGCACGAGACAGACACGCACGCACAGACGCACGCACGCACAGACACACGCACAGACATGCACACACACACACACAGACATACACGCACGCACAGACACACACACAGACGCACGCACAGACACGCACACACAGACATGCACAGACATACACACACGCACAGACACACACACACGCACGCACACACACATGCACAGACACACACACACACGCACGCACAGACACACACGCACGCACGCACAGACATACACGCACGCACAGACATACACACACGCACGCACGCACAGACGCACGCACAGACGCACGCACAGACACACAGACACGCACGCACAGACATACACGCACAGACATACACACACGCACGCACAGACACACAGACGCACGCACAGACACACACACGCACGCACAGACACACACGCACGCACAGACATACACACACAGACATACACGCACGCACACACACACGCACAGACACACAGACGCACGCACAGACACACAGACGCACGCATGCACAGACGCACGCACAGACACACAGACGCACGCACGCACAGACACACGCACAGACACACAGACGCACGCACGCACGCACAGACACACAGACGCACGCACAGACACACAGACGCACGCACGCACAGACACACGCACGCACGCACAGACGCACGCACAGACACACAGACACGCACGCACGCACAGACACACACGCACGCACGCACAGACGCACGCACAGACACACAGACGCACGCACAGACACACACGCACGCACGCACAGACACGCACGCACAGACATACACACACGCACGCACAGACGCACGCACAGACACACACGCACGCACGCACAGACGCACGCACAGACACACAGACGCACGCACGCACAGACGCACGCACGCACAGACACACAGACGCACGCACGCACAGACACACAGATGCACGCACGCACAGACGCACGCACGCACAGACACAGACACAGACGCACGCACGCACAGACGCACGCACAGACACACAGACGCACGCACGCACAGACACACGCACAGACACACACACACACGCACAGACATGCACACACAGACATACACACACGCACGCACAGACGCACGCACGCACAGACGCACGCACGCACAGACACACAGACGCACGCACAGACACACAGATGCACGCACAGACACACACGCACGCACGCACAGACGCACGCACAGACACACAGACGCACGCACGCACAGACGCACGCACAGACACACACACGCACAGACATACACGCACAGACATACACACACGCACGCACAGACACGCACGCACAGACATACACACACGCACGCACGCACAGACGCACACACAGACGCACGCACAGACGTACGCACGCACACGCACACACGCACAGACACGCACACACGCACAGACACGCACGCACGCACAGACACACACACACGCACAGACACACGCACACACGCACACACGCACAGACGCACGCACGCACAGACACACGCACGCACGCACACACGCACAGACGCACGCATGCACAGACACACAGACGCACACACGCACAGACGCACGCACGCACAGACACACACACAGACGCACGCACGCACGCACAGACACACAGACGCACGCACAGACACACAGACGCACGCATGCACAGACGCACAGAGACGCACGCACGCACGCACAGACACACAGACGCACGCACGCACAGACGCACGCACAGACACACAGACGCACGCACGCACAGACACACACGCACGCACGCACAGACACACACGCACGCACAGACGCACGCACAGACATACACACGCACGCACAGACATACACACACGCACGCACAGACGCACGCACAGACACACAGACGCACGCACGCACAGACACACGCACAGACACACACACACACACACAGACATACACACACGCACGCACAGACACGCACGCACAGACATACACACACGCACGCACGCACAGACGCACACACAGACACACAGACGCACGCACAGACACACAGACGCACGCACGCACAGACACGCACGCACGCAGACACGCACGCACGCACAGACACACGCACGCACGCACACACGCACAGACGCACGCACGCACAGACACACACACAGACGCACGCACGCACGCACACACGCACAGACGCACGCATGCACAGACACACAGACGCACGCACGCACAGACACGCACGCACAGACGCACGCATGCACAGACATACACACACGCACGCACGCACAGACGCACACACAGACACACAGACGCACGCACAGACACGCACGCACGCACAGACACGCACGCACGCACAGACGCACGCACGCACAGACACACGCACAGACGCACGCACGCACAGACACACACACAGACGCACGCACGCACGCACAGACACACAGACGCACGCACAGACACACAGACGCACGCACAGACACACAGACGCACGCACAGACACGCACGCACGCACAGACACGCACGCACGCACAGACACACACGCACGCACAGACGCACGCACGCACAGACACACGCACAGACGCACGCACGCACAGACGCACGCACGCACAGACACACAGACGCACGCACGCACGCACGCACAGACGCACGCACGCACAGACACACAGACGCACGCACGCACAGACACACAGACGCACGCACGCACAGACACGCACGCACGCACACACGCACGCACGCACGCACAGACGCACGCACAGACATACACACACGCACGCACGCACAGACGCACGCACAGACACACAGACGCACGCACAGACAAACAGACGCACGCACAGACACGCACGCACGCACAGACACGCACGCACAGACATACACACACGCACGCACTTACAGACGCACACACAGACACACAGACACACGCACGCACAGACATACACACACAGACATACACACACGCACGCACAGACATACACACGCACACACGCACGCACAGACATACACACACGCACGCACGCACAGACGCACGCACAGACACGCACGCACGCACAGACACGCACGCACGCACAGACACGCACGCACGCACAGACACACAGACGCACGCACGCACAGACACGCACGCACAGACGCACGCACAGACATACACACACGCACGCACGCACAGACGCACGCACAGACACACAGACGCACGCACAGACACGCACGCACGCACAGACACGCACGCACAGACATACACACACGCACGCACGCACAGACGCACGCACAGACACACAGACGCACGCACGCACAGACACACAGACGCACGCACAGACACGCACGCACGCCCAGACACGCACGCACAGACATACACACACGCACGCACGCACAGACGCACGCACAGACACACAGACGCACGCACGCACAGACACACACGCACGCACGCACAGACGCACGCACAGACACACACGCACGCACGCACAGACGCACGCACAGACATACACACGCACGCACAGACATACACACACGCACGCACAGACACACAGACGCACGCACAGACACACAGACGCACGCACAGACACACAGACGCACGCACAGACACACACGCACGAACGCACAGACACGCACGCACAGACATACACACGCACGCACGCACAGACGCACGCACAGACACACAGACGCACGCACGCACAGACACACACGCACGCACGCACAGACGCACGCACAGACACACAGACGCACGCACGCACAGACACACACACACGCACAGACATACACACACAGACATACACACACGCACGCACAGACATACACACGCACACACGCACGCACAGACATACACACACGCACGCACGCACAGACGCACGCACAGACACGCACGCACGCACAGACACACACGCACGCACAGACACACGCACGCACGCACACACGCACAGACGCACGCACGCACAGACACACACGCACAGACACACACACGCACGCACAGACACACACACGCACGCACAGACGCACGCACAGACACAGAGTTTAAATTACAGGCCAACATTTCTTTA